TATATATATATATATATATATATATGCGAATACATATATACATTTATATATATTCAGGTACTCTCATTAACTGCATAATTAACCTTCTCTCGCGTCGTAGCGCAGTACATTAGATCGAATTGTGGAGGGGTAATCGGGTGGCTCAATGGCGGCGGTTCCGCGTGCACTTGCGCGAGCGTGCGCAGCCGCTGGCACAGCACGCATCCCGCACAATCACCCATGCACGCACGCACGCACATCATATACACACACGTACACGTATAATAAACACACGCACGCAGGCGGGCGAGCGCGTGCTTATCCCGGCGTATAGCTTCCTCGCGAGAGGCTTCGCCCGGCGCTAACCAACAGCCTAATAACCTCGCCTTGGCTGGTGATTGACGCGCGCCTGTACCGGCTAATTATCAACAACAATCAATAATGGCCCCCCGAGAATGCCGACGCTACCGTCCCGCTGCGCCCGCGCCTCCTCCTTCTTTGCTTCACCACCTACACATCTCTCCTCCTCTTCTTCGACGTCACTCCCCCTCTGAGCCTTTCGGCTCCCTCGCGACGCCACCCCTTCCACGGCCTGTCTCCGTCGAAGGCCGTGAATCCGCGGAGGCGGCTGAGTCTGTTTTAAATTATCTTCTTTCTACAAAAAGGTGGACCTATCTATGCGGAAAATAACGTATCCCGACGCTGAGAGAATGAGGATTCTCAATTATCGCAGGTCTCCGAATTTCGAGGGGAATTTGCTCCGCCGAATGTTCATTCGTGATTTCTTTAAAGAAGTCTGCGGGATAATTTCGCTTGAAAATTGCGAGTTTAGAATTAGGGAGTTCAACACTCACGCTTCTTCTTTTTCTTCCACTATATCCGTGTATCTTAACAGGAGGAAAAACGGCGGAAAAATGTCGCGGATATTTCCGATTTTCCCTGCAAATACCCGCTCATATTGTTCGCGCGCGAACAGACGACGCGATAGCTCCGTAAAGGATATCCGCGAAAGCGGATTTCTGTGATGCGGCATACGTCTGATATTCGAATAACTGGATGCCTCATGTATACGTGCGTGGATACGTCTGCGCAATAATTGGTTTCGGTTGGGACGGAGTAACCATCATGATTAAATCCTACGAGGCAGGAGTAGCAGGCTGGCGGAGCACCGTTGCTCTTACTACTTGCCGCCCTGTTATA